GCAAATACCTTTTTCAACAATGTAAAAGGAGATTATACACAATAATTATACATCAAATTGACTACTTCTGTGTGAAGACATGATAGAGAAGGCCAGTGTCAGCCATTAGGCCAGGTGTTAATTGTGGAACAAACCATCAGTTGCTCAGATACAACTTCAGGCTGAAGCTGAAGAAAATTAAAACACATATATGAGAACCAATATATTACTCTGAATACATCTCACCTGAATTTAGAGAACAGATTTGATGCATTAAATATCAAAAATCAGAAGAGTTGTGGGGTGACATCAAGAATATTATACAGAAAGAAAGCAAAAGGTTATTAAAGAGATAAGAAAGAAATGAAAAGATCAAGTGGATGTCAGAAGTTTGCTCTTGAGTGTAGAGAAGCTAAAGCAACTGGAAGAAATAAGAAAGTAAACGTGCTGAACAAAAATTGCAAATGGTAGCTTGAGAATACAAAGTATTATAATGAAATTTGCAAAGATGTGGAATTACAAGAACAAAAGGGAAGAACACAACACAGCATTTCTCAAACTGAAAGAAACTAAAGAAAAAAAAAAATGCAAGTCTCAGGTTGCAATATTGTATGATTCAATGGGTAACATATTGAATGATTTGGAGAGCATCAAAAGAAAATGAAAACAGTTTACTGTACCAACTGTGCAACCATTTCAAGAGGCAGCATATGATCAAGAATCCATAGTACTGAAGGAAGAAGGCCAAAATGCACTGATGGCACTGGCAAAAACAAGAATAGATGGAATGAAAATTGAACTGTTTCAATAAACTAATGTAGGGCTGAAGTCCTGGTGTGGCGCTGTGGGATAACACACTGGACTGCAAGGTTAGTGGTTCAAACTCACCAGCCGCTCCCTGGACACCCTATACAAGGTCGCTATGAAGTGGAACCTACTTGATGGCACTTAACAACAACAACAATGTAGGACTGAAGGCATTCATTTGTGCCAAGAAATTTGGAAAACAGCTACATGGCCAAACAATTTGAAGAGATGCTTATTTGTGCCCATTACAAAGAAAGGTGGCTGGACAGAATGCTTAAAATAATTCAAAGACGGTTGCAGCAGAACATTGGCAGGGAGCTGCAAGAAATTTAAGCCAAATTCAGAAAAGGACATGAAAGGAGGGATACCATTACTGATGTCAGATGGATCTTGGCTAAAAGCAGAGATACCATAGATGTTTACTTGTCCTTTATTGACTATGCAAAGCATTCAACTATGTGGATTATTGCAAATTATGGGTAACATTGTGAAGAATGGGTATATAGACAAAGAGGCAGTCATTAGAGTGGAACAGAGGGCTACTTACTGAATGGTTTAAAATCAGAAAAGGTGTATGCCAGGGTTGGATCTTTTCACCATACTTATTCAAATTGTTTGCTAAACCAATAATCCAATATACTGGATTATATCAACAAAAGCGTAGTATCAGGATTGGAAGAAGACTCATACACAACCTGCAACATGCAGCTGATAATACCATACTTGCTGGAAGCAAAGAGGACTTAAGATACTTACACATGAAGATCAAAGACTACAGCCATCAGTATGGGCTGTACCTCAATTTAAAGAAAATGAAAATCCTCACAATTCAACCAATAAATAACAGCATGATAAATAAAGATTAAAATTGTCAAAGACTTCATTTTGCTTAGATCCACAATGTGCTGCAAAAGACCTCTTTAAAGTGTTAAATAAAGAGCAAAGAAGTCAGTTTGAGGACTAAGATGCAACTGAAAGTTGGAAAATGAATAAGGAAGATCACAGAAGAATCAATATACTTAAATTACGGTGTTGGTAAAGATGTACAGTCAGAATGGTCCTTGGAAGCAGGGATGGCGAGACTTCATCTCTTGTATTTTGTACATGCTGTCAGAGACACCAGTTCCTAGAGAAGGACATCGTGCTTGATAAAGTGGAGGGTCACCAAGAAAGAGGAAGACTTCCAACGAGATGGACTGACACAGTGGCAGCAACAATGGGCTGTTGTAACATGTAACAACATGGTGAGGAAGGCACAGGACCAGGCAGGGTTTCATTCTGTGGTACCTAGGGTGCTATGAGGAGGGACTGACTCGATGACACCTAACAATAACAAAGATTCACATTTCTGCATTTTGTTCGGTCATATTTCTTTAATGGTTGTCAACCAAAACAATTAATGTGTGTTCACGTAATTAAGCTAAACAATTAGAGATCAGAGCTACAGTGTCTTTACTGTGTATCTCTTTACTTCTGTTCGTCATTTTATCCTTTTCTCTTTACAGTGGTTACTATCAGCAGAGAGAGTGCATAAGAATATTACATGGGAACCACTTCCAAATACAGGAATCTGGAGTCTGCAAAGATGTGGCCCACACACTCAGAACAACAAATAGTACTTTCATTTTGGTTTGGTAAACATTTACAGTTATTAAGACAAGCATAAAATGTATTGAAATAACCACATGTAGTTTACACAGTTTCCTAAGTATACTTTTAAGTACTCCAAAGAAAGCTGACCCAACAAAATGTGGAAATCATTGAACGATATCAGGCTAGATTCAGAAGATGATGTGGAACACGGGCTATCATTGCTGACCAGACAGATCTTGACTGAAAGCAGAATAACACTGGAAAGATTTTTACTTGTGCTTTATTGACGATACAAAGACTTTCAACTATGTGGATTATAAGAAATCAGAGATAGCATTGTGAAGAATGGGAATTCCAGAACACTTAACTGTACTCATGAGTAATCAGGACATACACCAAGAAGCAGCCATTTGAACAGAATAAGGGAATACTGAATGGTTTAAATTCAGGAAAGGTGTGTACTAAGGTTGTACCCTTTCACCACACTTATTCAGTCTGTATGCTGAGAAAATAATCAAAGATATTGGACAATATAAAGAACCTGGTGTCAGATTAGTGAAAGACTCATTAACAACCTGCGATATACAGATGATTTAACTTTGCTTGTTGGAAGCAAAGATGACTTGTAATACTTAATGATGAACATCAAATATTACAGACTTCAGTAGGGATTGCACCCAAATACAAATAAAATAAAAATCCTCACAACTGGACCAATAAATAACATCATGATAAATGAAGAAAAGATTGAAGTTGTTAGAGATTTCATTTTGCTTGGATCCACATGCAGTGCTCATGGATACAGCAGTCGAGAAATCAAGTGACTCATTGTTATTAGGCAAATCTTCTGGGGATAAAACAAAACAAAACAAAAAACTCTTTAAAGTGTTAATGAGCAAATAAGTCAGTTTGAGGACTATGGTGCATCTGACCCAAGCCATGGTATTTTCAATTACCTATTATGAAAGTTGAACAACGACTAAGGAAAGCTGGAGTAGAACTGGTGCATTTGAATTATGGTGTTGGCAGAGAATATTGAAAGTACAAACATCTTGAAAAAACCAAACAAATTTGTGTTGGAAGAAGTACAGTCAGGATGCTCCTTAGAAAGAGAGAATGGTGAGATTTCCTCTCTCATACTTTGGACATGTTATCAGGAGGGACCAGTTCCTGAAAGAGGACAGCATGCTTGGAAAAGTGGAGGGTCAGCAAAAAAGTGGAAGACCCAAAAGGAGAGATAATTGACACAGTGGCAGCAACAATGGACTCAAATATAACAATTGTGAGGATGGCACTGGGCCAGGCAGTGCTTTGTTGTGCATACGGGTGGCTATGAGTTAGAACCTAACACACACACACACACACACACACACACACACACACGTAATTATATAACACAATATAGCTACAGATAATAAATGCACAGGGACAACTAGTGATGTTCAGGAACAGATTGGTAGTCCAATTTTGAGCCAGTCAGATTGTGAGATGTATTACAGATTAAATAGAGATAGATGTCTGGAAGGCATGTGGACATTTGAGCTTGGAATTTAGAAAAAGGGCCTAGGCTGGACAGGAAAGTTTGGGAGGAGACACACTCTGACTTATGTTTCAATGAGGATCACTCTCACTGCTATGTTGAAGAGGATTAGTAATCAGCAATAATAAATGCTTACCTTTAGGAGCTCTGGTAGTGTAGTGGTTATGAGTTGTGCTGCTAACCTCAAGGTCAGCAGTTGAAACTACCACCCGTTCCGCAGGAAAAAGATGAGGCTTTCTGCTCCTGTAAAGATTTACAGCCTCGGGATCCCTATGAGGTTCGCTGTGAGTCAGAACCAACTCCACGGCACATAACCACCACCACTCTTTCCTTAAATACTACTCTCAGCAGTACTGCATTGCTTACTGGGCCTCATCACTGATTTACCAAATCAGCTGGCCTTTATCAAAATCTCCAGAAGGTTCTCATACATATTAAAGTCAAGTAATGTTGGTGCTATAAAGCACATTACTATGACTTAAGGGAGAAAGAAGAATTCAAAAGTAATCATTTCTATCACCTTCTCAGTTGTTCCCACCTGACACATGAATGACACTTAGAAACTAACAGGAATCTGAAAAACTAAGCCAGTTTCCTGTAAGTTCGTCTCTACTCTGATCTTAAAGTTTAAAACCTAGAGCTAAGTACAAGTGCCTATTCATGTCCAGCTGTTCTTTTGTTTATTTCAATTATTTAAAGGAAGGCGATTGGGGGAAAAAACAACTATCCCTCTGATTACTAACCGCTGAATTCTAGTGTCAGCCAATAACAACTCATTTTGGGAAAACAACCTAAATGCTATCATTGCATCCACCTGACTAAAGAGCTTGTTGTTGTTAAGTGCTGCTGAGTCAGTTCTGACTCTTAGCAATCCTGTATAGGGTTTCCGAGAAGCACCTGGTGGGTTTGAACTGTGGTTTGCAGTCTAGTGCTGATCCTACAGCACCACATCCAGAATACAGAGATTACTAGCTTCTCTATTAACTTCTTTATAACAGCCAGAGTTATTCCCCAATAATTCTAGATGTCATATAAATTAAATGAAAGATTCAAATATTAAACACAGACCACAGACTAGTACCTCATCTAGGAAAGCAGTTACATGTCCAAGAGATGATGTAGGTAACTCTCCAAATAAAAAAGTTTGCGTGTAATCATTTACTTCAGTGCTTTCAGTAATCTTCTTGGCAATATAAACAAGTTTGTGTTTGGCATTTCTTGGAATCTGAAACAAAATGAAGATAATTAGTTCTTCAAGTTTACTATGTAGTTTCCAGGTTAACAAGTAGGACTTAATGTATCTGAAGTAGAAATTAAATGTATCCAATAGCTGAACTGGTAGCAGAAGAAACAAAACTTGGCATCTTGCCACCCTTTACAAATTAGACTGTTCCACTGTTCTCCCTTAAGCCACAAAAGTGTATATGATTTTCTTTGTTCTTTTATCATGCTAATTTCAGTTATTAATGGTTTGAAAATGTCACCTTTAAAAGACGCTGCAATTACACCAGATCTTTTTATACTATAAAATCTCCTATGTAAAAAAAAAACAAGGGAGCATGTAGAAAGTTTCAATCTTAGCAAATGTTATTCTCGTTTATATTCTTTCCGTGTTTAGAAATAAGGCAAACTGGGGTAAAGTTAGGGAACACAGATGGATTTATTAGTTGTTAGGTGCCCTACATCCGTTACATAGGACCCTATGCACAACAGAACAAAACACTGCCTGGTCCTGTGCTATACTAATTGTTGGGTGAGCCCATTGTTGCTGCCATTCTCAATGCAGATCTTCCTGTTTTTCACTGGCCCTCCACTTTTCCAAGCATGATGTCCTTCTCCAGGGACTTGTCTCTCCTGATAATACATCCAAAGTTCAAGAGACAAAGTCTCACCATCCTTACTTCTAAGGAGCATTCTACTTCTACTTCCTTCAAGACAGATTTGTTCATTCTTCTGGCAGTCCATAGTACTTTTAATATTCTTCAGCAACACCGTAATTCAAAAGCATTGATTTTTCTATGGTCTTCCTTATGCATGGTCCAACTTTCACTTGCATGTGAAATGAATGAAAAGATCATGGCTTGGGTCAGGTGCACCTTAGTCCTTAAACTGACATCTTTGCTCTTTAACGCTTTAAAGAGGTGTAGCAGATTTACCTAATGCAGTATATCTTTTGATTTCTTGACTGCTGCTTCCATGAGCATTGGTTGTGGATCCAAGCAAATTGAAGTCTTTGACAACTTCATCTTCTCTCCACTTATGATATTTATTAGTTCAGTTGTGAGGATTGTTGCTTTCTTTACATTGAGGTGCAATCCCTACTGAAGTCTTTGATCTTCATCATTAAGTATTTCAAATCCTCTTTGCTTTCAGCAAATAAAGTTGTGTCATATGCATATCACAGATTGTTAATGAGTCTTACTCCAATCCTGATGCCATGTTCTTTTTCATATAATCTAGCTTCTCAGATTATTTGCTTAACATACAGTTGAAAGAATACAATTCTGGCACACACCTTTCCCAATTTTAAATCAGTGTTCCCATGTTCTATTTGAATGACTGTCTCTTGGTCTTTGTATACTTGGTCATGAACACAATTAAGTGTTCTGAAATATCTATTTTTCACAATGTTGCCCATAGTTTGTTATGATCTACATGGTCAAGTGTGTTTGCACAGTCAAGACAGCACAAGTAAACATCTGTTTTCAGCCAAGATCCATCTGACCTCAGTCATGTTATCCATGTCCTCTTCTGAATCCAGTTTTAATTTCTGGTAAGTCTCTGTTGATGTACTGTTGCAACCATTTTTAAATGATCTTCAGCAAACTTTTACTTGTGTGTGATATTAACGACATTGTTTGATGATTTCCGCATGCCATTTGGATCTGTTTCAATTGTTTAGCCAGGTAGCTGTTTACAAAATTCTTGGCATACATGAGAGGGCACCTCCAGTGCTGCATCAGTTAGTTGAAAGATTTCCATTTGTATTCTGTCAATTACTGGAGACTTGTTTTTCCGCTTGTGCCTTCAGTGCTGGTTGGACTTCTTCCTTCTATACCTCTTCATATGATTGAACATCCACCATTTCTTTTTGTTACAGTGACTCTATGTATTCCTTCCATCCTCTGTTGATGTTTTCCGTGTCGTTCAATATTTTCCCCATTGTTGTTGTTGTTAGGTGCCATTGAGTTGGTACTAACTCATAGCGACCCTATGTACAACAGAACAAAACACTGCCTGGTCCTGGGCCATGGATTCATCAATATTGCAACCAGAGGCTTGAAATACTTCTCCAGTTCTTTCAAGTGAAGAAATGTTGAGCATGTTCTTCTGAACAAAGGATAGAACTACTTAACCAACATATTCTAATATTTCTCTAGCACTGAGTCATTTCTTTTAGTGTTATAAAGACTATTTAACTTAGTTAATACAAGCGATAGGTGTTCTAGCTCCTTGTCTGGCAAAACTTTTAAAAAAACACAAAACATTAAACACTTCCATAACCCCAAGTACTATACTTAAAGCAAAACAAAAAACTGTCCCTAATTTAAAGCAGAAGCATATGGTTGCGAAGAGTTGTAATTGATTCCATGAAAGTAAGTTTGGATGTTGTTGTTGTTGTTGTTAAGTGCCATCGAATAGGTTCTGACCCACAGCGACCCTGTACAGGGTTTCCGAGGCTGTAAATCTTTACCGGAGCAGAAAGCCTCATCTTTCTCCCGTGGAGCAGCTGGTAGTTTCGAACTGCTGATCTTAAGGTTTACAGCCTGATTCATAACCACTACTCTATCAGAGCTCCTTTAAAAGGTTGGCAACATGTACTTGTGCAAGTTACCCCGTATTTCTTTTTTAAGAACTTATTTTCCTTGGAACCATGGTAAAAGTGCTCTGCTTTTAACTAAAAGGTTAGTAGTTTGAAGATACCAGGTGCACTAGAGAGATGTGCGGGTTTTCTTCCTAAAGATTACAGTCTTGGAAACCCTTTGGGACTGTTGTACTCTATCCTACAGGACTATGAGTCAGAATCAACAGTACAGCAACAGGCTGGGCCTGTTATTTTTCCTTTGTATGAAGTTTGGCAGACGGCAGTCATATTAAATACATGACAAGTTATTTGTACTCTTCCAAGCACTTAAGTTTTAAGAAGATAGCTCCAACTTTAAAAGGGGCAGATTCCATTTAAAAACACTCCCACCAGCTGCGGAAGCACAGAAAACATCATACTATAGCATTCAAGGAGCCCTGGTGTGGTGCTGTGGGTTAATGCGCCAGACTGCAAAGCCGTTTGAACTGCAAGGTTGGTGGTTCAAGCTCACCAGCTTCTCCTTGGAAACCCTAAACAGGGTCGCTATGGGTCGGAATCGACTCAACGACACTTAACAACAACAACCCACAGCCGAGGAGCTCTGGTAGCGTAGTGATTACGAATCGGGCTGCTAACCTCAGGGTCAGCTATTCGAAACTACCAGCTGTTCCGCGGAAGAAAGATGAGGCTTTCTGCTCCCGTAAAGATTTACAGCCTTGGAAGCCCTGTACAGAGTCGCTATGAGTCAGAACCAACTCCACCGCACCTAACAACAACAACCCACAGCCGTTATAGTCGGAACTGACTCCACAACACACAACCACCACCAGCAACAACCCGCCGCCGCCAGAGAAAGACGAGGCTGTCTGCTCCAGTGTGGTTAGTGGATAAATAGGAACAGACTTGATGGCAGTGAGTGAGTGGACACCCAATTGCTAACTGTACTGTGGGTTCAGGTAGGGAGCTCAGTGACTGCAGGGCAGTGACTTCAAGCGAAGTTTTGTTTGAGTCCCAAGTGAGCGCTCCACGGGCACCGAAGGCGGGTGACTGTGGTGTTCTGCTGGGCGGGCAGCGCCCCTTACCTGCCAGGAGACCGCGAGCCGCCCCGAGGCAGCTGTGCTGAACAGAAGGCAGGCGGGGCTCGCACTCTCCAGAAACTCCCCCAGATCCTGCCGGTTGTCCGGACTCTCCAGAAACTGACTCCAGTTCTCCTCCGGAAGCCTCAACATCTGCTCCAGGCGGCCTCCCAGGAATCGCACCCGAGCGTCCTGGGCAAAACTCCGCGCTCTCCGGGTCTCTTCCTCCTCCTCCTCTTCTTCCTCCTCTAATTCTAAAGTGCCTGCTGCCTTCAAGTTGGCGCCTGTGGTTAGGCAAAGGATCGGGACTTCCCGAAAGCTTCGAGCTTCCAGAGCAGCCGCGGGTGATGCCATCGGGAATTGCTCTGCTGAAGCCCACTTTTCTCCCTGGAATACCGCTAGCGCAGAACCTGCTCTCCCGCTTGTGCTGCTGCGCCTCTGAGCGCTGAGAGAGCCAGGGCGGGGAAGCTGGCCACTGCGCAGCGCGTCCCGTTTCCCTGGGGACGGCGTCCTCTGGGGTGCCGGGGGGGGGCGGAGTGACCACGAAGTGGCCGCCGCCCAGTCCACGGCCAAGGAGAACGACCATAAGGTTCAGGAAAACGGACCCGGGCCACGAAGGGATGTGCCCAAGGTCAGACAGAACCACTTGGCATCTGTCCCGTCCAGGGTTGCTCTGGACGTTTTCGTGCTAATTTCAGTCTGCAATCGGTTATCAAGAGAATGCTTCACCCCTGCGCCACCAGGGATCCTTACTGGAAGGCTAGTTGGTATGCCCAATAATCCTCTTTGTAACCTTTGAAATCTTCTGCGATACGAAGAATTAGCATTCAATCCAGATGTATATGAAGGATGAAAAAACTGTTCTCATTGTATGGAAATGTGATTTCAGTATGATGCAGTAATGATGCTTGTTGGCTCTATTGAGGAATTTTTGATTATTGAAGGAGTCAGTATTATGAGGGGGGTGGTCCTCCAACTAAACTTTGTTCCACATCTCCTTTGCTGATTGATCATTTCGAAATAAAAAGGACTTCAACCCCACCCTTCCTACAGAAGCTGTATTGAGGGGTTTCATCCTCCCTCCATCCTACAAGGTTCTGTTATTTCAGAAGTGAATAGCCACTTTTAGATTCAGGAGAAGGAGGAAAAAAGATAATACCAAAGTTCAAATTTCAAAAAGTTAAATGTGTATCTCAAAATATAGATAGAATATGTGTCAAATTTATTTAACTCATTAATGAGGGAGCTAACTAAATGATGAAGTGATTCCAGGAAGAATTAGAGAAAAAGAGATTTACAGACATTCACAAGAGAGTACTGGAATAGAATTGCTAGTTTAGAATTGATGCTGCTCCATGTTCTTAAAGGCAATCTAACCTTAACTTTTGGTTATTTTGTTGTGTTTTTATTCCTATCGTTGTTGTTGTTAAGCCGCTTCAAGTCAGCTCACACGCATAGTGACCCAGTATAGAGTTTCCAAGGAACAGCTGGTAGGTTTGAACTGCCACTTTAAGGTTCAAACGGACCTTGTGGTCCAGTGCTTATCCTTCAGCACCATACCAGGATTCTAGTGAAAAGTCTGTAAATAAAAATAAAAACTTACAGAGGTTGGTCTTTAATAAATAGGAAGTAGTTACACAAAAGTATATTTCCTAGGTAATTAAATAATCCTTAGATGGACCAGTTAAACTGTCCACACATACTGACTCCCATTTACCTTATTTTCAAGTTTTGAATAATTTAAAAAATAATAAACTTAGTTGAGTAGCAACATGTACCACATACTGTGCTGAATTCATTTATTTGTTCAACAAATATTTACTAAATGCCTAGCACTGGATCGTGAGGTTGGTTTGAACCACAAATTGGCAGTTCAAACTCACCAGCCACTCCTCAGAAACCCTAAACAAGGTCACTGTAACAACACCACTAAGTAGCAAGTATAAGAGCCCTGGTAGCATATTTGTTTAGGCAACTAACCACAAGCCTCAGAACCCAGCCACTCCATGGGAGAAAAGGAAAGATTTACAGCATCAGAAACCATAGGAGCAGTTGTTCTAGTTTGTTCTAAAGGGTCACTGTGAGTCCAAATCGACTCAATGGCAGGGGACTGGGGGAGGGGGGATAGAGGGGGTTTGGTACGTACTAAGCACTGGTCTGGAATCCTGGTGTGATGCTGTGGGTTAAAGCACTGGACTGCAAAATCAGTTTGAACCACAATGTCAGCAGTTCAAGCTCACCAACCACTTGTAGGAAGCACTAGACAACGTCACTATGGGTCAAGACCAACTTCACGGCACTTAACAACAGCAAGCACTGGTCTAGGTGCTGGTAATATAACAGAAAACAAAACAGACTAAATTTCCACCCTCTGGTGTTGTGCTGCAGGATAATGCACTGAACTGCAAAGTCGGTTTGAACCACAAGGTTGGCGGTTCAAGCTTACCAGCTGCTCCTCAGAAACCTCATATGGGGTTACTGTAAGTCAGAATCTACTCAATAGCACTTAACAACATTACTTCCTTGTTGGTATAAGCATACACTAGTTTGTTGGGTCACTTTATTGTGTTAATTTTACATATGAGGAAACTGACATGGAGAGAAGTTAAAGAAATTGCCTACAGTGAGGTGAATATGCATTTCCTCATCTAGGAGAGAATTCCTGCTGAACACTCAAGGGTTAATCCAATCATAGCCTTTAGCACCAGCCTCACATTGTGTTTAGCTCATGATTATTTCAGGTGCTTCAAAAAGTTTCCTCTATTGTTTGCTAATTCCTGCAACCTATTTGCTCCAATAACACAATTCTTCCCTGCAGAAAAATAATCCAATTTTACAACCTTTTTTTTTTTTCTTTCTATTGTGATGGGAGTAGTGCTGTGGGTTAATGTGCTATACTGTAAGGTTGCTTTGAAATGCAAGGTTGGTGGTTCAAGCTTACCAGCCACTCCTCAGAAACCCTATATATATATATATATATATATATAGAGAGAGAGAGAGAGA